TGTAATGGCTACTGGTAAAATGTTTTCCAAGGAATTTTTACCTTAAGAAAAAAGAACCCATAGTAGACTGTAACATGTAAGGCAGCAAGTAATTTCCTTTCTAAATTTTTCTACATAAACAATGTGTACTATAATAAAATGAAAGAATTTGTCTATGTGAACATTTGACTTTCTCATGAAAGATTTGTCTGAACTGGGCCCTCATGCTGGTTCATGTCCACATAACTCATCCTTTACAGTCATAGACTGATGTGACACAGGGTAATAGAAAGTGATGCATTGCCTGAATTTAAAGGAACACAGACTATTTCAGGATCGGCTGTGCAGCATGAGATCTGTATCAGATTTGAAACAAAGCTAACCAAGCAGACAGAGCAGTAAGATATCTATAGCATCCATTAATCAGTATATACTATGCTGTTGCTGGCTTCTTTTTTTCATTTTGGCTTTTCTGTGTGTGTTCACCATCTAACGTTATTTGCCTGATGCCTTTTTAAAGCCAAGACAAATACACAAGGTTACTTGGGAAACCATTTACAAATCTTATCTCCTCTCTGTTCTTTAATTTCAGTGCAAGAAATCATACTTTTTGACCCCAAATACCCCACCAGAGTTGTAGATCATCAGTGTGTCTACATCAGCTTATGTCAAAATATGAAGAAGTCAGTATTTGTTGTTGGAGTTTGTTGTTCAGGTGTTCTTTCTGTACGTGTATACATGTAGTTTTATCCCTTACATTTGACAGAATAGAATGATGGCAGTGCCCACAGCAGAACATTCCCACAAAACCTACCTTACCTTTTGAGAAAAGAGTGACATTTGTCTAAATTTCTTGTCATATTAAACTCAGATTAGTAAGTAATTAGTAATCTCAGATTCAAGTTCTCAGAGAAACAACGTAGCTCTTCATTGTTTAATGGCCAATGCACTTTGCTGCAATGTATATTTAGATGAGATCTTAAGAACTGAGTTTCTTTATAATCTATATGCTTCTGAGGAGCTAAAGCCACATTTTATGCAAGAAAAAGGTTTTGCACTATCATCTTCAGATTTTCCCTCTGGAATCTACTTGAGAAAATGGACCAGAAGCTTCAGGCACCCCGTATTGGTCTTCTGAAAGAACAGCCATCAGTGCTGGTGCTCTGCACTCTTCCCTGCAACAGCCAACAACTTACTTTGTCTTTGCATCTGTTTGTCCTTTACCTCTGTTTAATCAAAGTTTAGTTGTACTGTATCCAGAAAATTTTTTTAAAGCTATCGAATGTTGTGTATCACAGACTTTGCATGCTAAGAACCTTTCTGCTGAGATTATTGTAGCAGAGAGAGCACAGTCCTTACACTTAGCACAAATTGTGCATTTATCAAACAAGCAAACAGGTTGTGTGCCTTTAAAAAGGTTTTCATAGCAGCCTATTTCATATTTCCTTAAAAAAATTAATTCTACTTTCTCCATAGTATTGCTCTGACATTGTATACTATGAAGTTTTAAAGCCAGACACCTTCTAGCGATAAGAACTTCAGAAGTAAAGCCTGCTGAAACCATCTGAACTGCTTCAAAAAGTGCAGCCTCCTCTCAGGGATCAGCTATTTTTCCCAAGTTTGAAATTCTAACCTGGTAAATAGCATCAACAGGGGAGTTTTCCCCCAACTCTTTTGGAGAACCCCACAGATATGAATATCTTCAAAGGAGAATCTGTTAAAAAATGTAACAGTCTTCAAAGGGGAAACACCACCCTCAGCAATCTGAAGTTCTTTAAAGTGGGAGCCCACCAGCACTAAGAATCCTCAGAGGACTAACTCCCAGAGCACTGTGAAAATTTGTAAGAGAACAAGCCCTCTCTCACAAATACCCAGTAGGCTATTATTTTCCTTTAAAAGGACTCTTACATGTGTACATTTATAATTACAGAAAGGGTCTTATTTAACCAGAGCCCTGTAGAACTCTCTTGCTTTTAAAAACAAATATTGATTAAAAGAAAAGAATGAAAGAAGAAAACAATTTGACTTTACTATTTTCCTTTATCTTCTTTTATTTATAACTGATCTCAATATAATACACCAATAACACTTGGTTCATGTAGCTCTTTTGATCTCTGGAACTCAAAAGTATTCTTCAAGAGTTGCAAAGAAATATTCTCTGAGTGCAGTTATCCACTTATAATGCTTGTTAACTGGGAGTCCAAACACTCTATCAGGAAGCACATATATCTCTTTTGTACTGTTGCTGGGTATGTTCTTTCAAGATGTACTTTCTTGAATAAATATTCAAGGGTTTGGTGTTCTCCTCCCACCCTCCCCTGTATTTTAGCATTTTGTTTGGTAGGGATAGCTAACATAGACATTAAAGTCATTATCAATGGCTAGAGTTACCTTCCAGGCATGCCACAAATGCCCAGATAAGGTGGGCAATGAGTCCAGCTGCCATGCTGGGCGAAAGGAGAGAGATGCTGAGGTGGTTTGAGCTACTCACGAGCATCCTTTCCATATGAATGCAGGCATGTCCTTCTAGTGGGAGTGAATTTATCATGGGTTTTCAGGAAGCAGAAGAGCCCTGTTTTTTTGAGATGAAGAATGGCTTGTCTGACAGAAAGTGCCTACATCAAAGCCACCATGTGAAATCAGTTCTCCTGAGTTCCAAATCAGAAGAAGGCTGGGGTCTTTTTTGGCATGTTTTTGCCTCATCAGTCAATAATACAATCATGTAGGAAAGAATTTTCCCTGACTCCCAGGGTCTGTGAATGTATAACCCAAACACTGAGATTTCCTAGTAAAATTTCTGACTTGCTGAAGAAATGGTAGAAATAACTAAATTTTACCTGTAGAAGCAAAAATATCATGCTCCATTCATGTATTTATTAGCTTCTTCTGTTTCACAATGCTGTATGATTTATTTTCTGATGTAACTGTAAAATCTGAAGCTTTCATATCTTGTGTGTAGTGATGTTTGATAGTTTGATTTCCTGCTTCTTAACTGATCCAAAAATGTGTGCCAAGAATATGATGCCTGATAGTAGCCTCATCTTCGACTATACAAAGGGAAAAAATCTTTTGCAGTATATGATAAATATCTTTACACTTCTTTGATGATCGAATAGTCTGATATTTGCCACTTTTTTTTCTTACTGAAAACAGCATCTTCTGTTTGGAAGTTACTTAGATGTATCTGGTGGGTGATGTTTGGGTCTGATACCAATAAACACATTTATCCCATTCAGCAGATTAACTGTGTTTTGCTATGAAGCACTGATGGGTGCAGCAGTGTGTATATCCAACAGCACCATTGACTAAATCTATTTGCAACATGCGAGGAAAAGAAGTGAATAGACAAGTCAAAGGATACTTTGACAGCTCTGGGCAGGCTGCAATGAGTCCTTAAGTAGTTAGAGGAATTTCCTTCCATTATGAGATCTGACAGTTAGTACCTCCATCCAGATGTGACAATCTTTTACTGACTTTTTTTTTTTTTTTTTGACTAGCATTTATGCCAGAGAATTTGATAAAAGGGAGATAACTATGTTCAGAACAGGCTCTTTGTTGCTGGAAAGCTCTCCTGTAAGCCAGATATCATAAATGTGAATTAGACACTGATTCTTCTGCTCGGTAGATTCTGTATTTGGATAATGAAACCTAGGAACAAGGACGAAATTAGTGATAGTGCATTTGAATTGCTCCTTTCCAAAGAAAGTTTAAATTACTTGCTGAGAGCATTTGGTCTCTAGATTCTGCTGAAGCACACTGTCTATCCCAAAACACAGAACACTAGTCATAATAAACCAGAATTTAAATGTATAGTAAGAAACCTTGTATTCATTCTTGCTGCAATTATGTCGCATTCAATGGAGTTTCATCAGAGACAAATACAACATTGTTATTCACGGGACCTGGGAAGAATGTTTTTTTTTCCAGTGAATCTTAGTCTTCATAATGCAAAATTTACAAAGCTATTGACAGAGGAGAAAGTTGCAGAAAATGGCTGAAATATCTGTATTTTCCTACTCTTGCATTAAATGCTAATGGTGTGGCAATCCTAAACAATAGTTAGAACCGCAGAGCATTTGTCAGTTTAAAACAAAAAGCCATCACCTTTAAAAAATGGAATATTTGAGGCACACTCCAATGTTCAAGCGCAAAAAGGAAAATAAGAAGACTCTAAGTTTCCTGAATCCTGTCCCAATTATATTTCATTTAATAACAGTCAGTGAAATATCTAGTGGCAGGGGAAATGAAACTACATGATTTTATGGGATCATTCATCAAGAACTAATTGAAGCTTTCATACAGTTTAGTGCTGATAAAACACTGTAACAATAAACAATAACAAAATTCACCAGAGAAGGATTTGTTTTGCCGTGAGGAAAATGGTTCAGTTTCATCCTGGGGATTCCTGGTTAAAAGAGTCTCCAATTTAAAAAGGGGATAAGCACAGGCTCCTGTGCATAATGACAGAGTGGAAACTGTGGCAAATGTATTAGTATTGCTCCAGTGGAGCTATTCTCATTGTAAGTATTTGCTATTGTGTGTGGTGGAGGCAAGACGCAGAACAACCAATAGGATTTTTTAAAGTTGGATTTTTTCAAGCAGTTCCCATGTAGTTTTATGAAAAGTGAATTACAGATACAGCACAAGCAACTGAATTTCTGATTCTAAAATTGCTAAATAATCTTAGATTTATTGAATCAGAAAAATTGTTCTTTCCTGTATTTCTTCATGGAATCAGGTTAGTCTTACAGTGATAGTTCTTCCTAACACACGCTAGAGTGATGTCCTGTCAATTCTTAAACTATAAAACATCATAAAACATGTTCCCTCTTTATTTCTGATCTATTTTCTCTGATCATAACATTTAGGCAGTCCAGTAACACAACAAAGATTATCAAGAATGTATTAAGTTTGATTTAAAGAATGAAATAATGAATATTTCATCAATCTTCATCAGAAACCCAGAGAAACTCCTAGGAAGGTGGCATTGTAGTTCAGTGGTTCCAGACCTTGCAAAAGCTACCTCAAGCAAATAACTTCAGTTCTTGTCTTCTTCTCCTCCTCCTGCCCTCTTAAAGTGCAAATCCTCCTGTGATCATAAAGTTTCATGTCATCTGTTTGTAGAACATGCTGTCCAGTGAACCTCTTTTGTCAGTTAGAACTTCTGGATGTATCAAAAAAGCAAAATAACACTGTAATAAATAACATTAATGAGGCACATATATATAATAACACAATAACATAACATTTATGATTTTATGCTAGGTCATACAACAGGAAACAAGATGTTGAATGCCTGTATGATCGTAAGGGTTGATTTTCTGCTCACTTTGGCGATTTCTGAGACATTCCAACTAATCGATCTTTCTTGAAGATCATATCAGAGAAGGACAGGAGAAGTAATCATATTTTATTAATTAAGTCCACCTCTTAGGTGTTTTTTTTTTTTTAAGAGAAGCAGAAGACTTAAAAGACCATCAAATAATATTTGGAGTCCACCTTCCCTGTGTCTGATCGTAACAGTAACAGAATTGATAGGGCATATTTTTCCACTCAGTTATATGTGTACAGATCCATCACCTTAATACAGTAATTGCTATCATGTTAGCCTTTAGTACACCTGCATTTCTATGGTAGCTGTAAAAGCTATGAAAGGGGACTAGCTCAGTCATATTGGTGATCCCAAGATATGGTGCTTTATACCTGGTGGTGGTTAACTTTAATGGACCTTCAACACTCAAGCTGGTTGGGACTCCAATTATAGAAGTGTAAATGTAAAAGCAAGGTTCAAATTTTGGCCTGTCAAAAACCAAAATTAATTGAATCTACCTCCATATCTCACAGGATGTGAATGTCTCCAAAGTTCAGAAATATTTCATCTGAACTTAAATCACAGATGATATATAAATGAAGATGAGATACAGCTGTGGCTGATCAATCTTTAGAAAGTGTTTAATGGTAGATGCCTTTAAGTCACTGGTATGCAGAGCTTGGAAGAACCCTGAGCTTTCAGAGTTTTACAAGTTATCAGATATTACTTTTCTAGATAAGTTGAATTGCTGTTTATCAGAATAGGGCTACATTTTCTCCATTTCTTTTACCCCAATAAAGTTTATTAAAAATAATCACATCATATGTCACATTATAGTAAAATAAAGAAGCTGTAATGTTATTGCATTGTTATTTTCCCTGATTATGTAGTTAAGCAAAAGATCACTTTCCAGAGACAGTGAAAAGCTACATGATATCTCTAGGATTGTCTTTTACAATTATTTTGAGGCTTGTGAATTGTCACATATTCCAAGCATTTTGCACTTCTATTTTGCACTGTCTCTTTAAAATTTCCTTTTTCTCTTAACCTTTTAGTTCCTCTCTTAATCTTTTTTCCATAGTTTCTGAATAAATATTTCCATCTTGGCCAACACAGGCCTAAAATCATAAAAAACTGGACAGCTTCTCAAGGGGCAAGGTGCACCAAATCTGGACACCATCAACTGGGCACAAAAATGATGCAGTATTTCGCATTGTATCTGGGGACTATTTGTGCTCCAGTTGACTGAGCTATAGCAGCCACCTCTTCCATTACCCATACTTGAAAACAGTAGAGATGGAATGAGCAAGTGTGGCAGGCCATCACTACAGCTGTCCTTTCCTACTCTGCATTACATGACCATGCCCATTTCTGCGAACAAGCTTCAAAGCAAGGGATACAAATTGCTGTGTTGATATGAAACGGAAACTTTGGTTGACAACTTTCATGTACATTTTGTTACTTTAGCAAATATTTTAGAGGAAAATTGTGTGTATCATTGCGATACATTATTCTTACGCATGGTGAGCAGATCTTTCTCTTGATTCCAATGGGACTATTCCCAATATCTCTATGATTCCCAGATACAATACATTCTTTATGAAAAGAGCATGCACAAGACATCCAGGATTTTCAAAATCCAAGTACTACATCTTTCTCAATCAATATGTGTTCTGACATTTTTACTTTTAAGTTCTACATGGCTAACTATATTTATTGAACTATCATCTAATTTTGGTTTAGTGCAAGAAGTTAACCTTTGAGTTTTGATAATTTTCAGTGTTTTCACTGATTTGTAAGCTGGTTTTTAATTTGCCAAAAAATGTCTGTGAACTGATCACAATTAAAGTAAGATATTAGCAGATAAAACTAGTGGAAGATTGATTTCCACCTTGTATTATATTCATAATCTGCTTTTTTTTAATTAACTCTAATCAGGAAATACATAAATAAAAAATAAAAAATGTGGGAACTCCTGTGAGCAGAATCAATATTTTCTATCCAATGACCATTGCTAAAGCTGCCATTGAATTTTCACTAGTAGAGTAACTACCCTTAAATTTAAGCCTTGATTCAGAGAAAACATTTGGGTTTATCACTAATTCCGACTGATGTAGACAGGTGCCTAATTAGCAGGATATATTAGGACTATCCAATTGCTCTAAATTGAACACAGGCTTAAATGCCTTGCTGAATAAACCCTCACCATTAAAACCAAACCATGGAAACAACTCAGCTGCCCTGGAATCAGCCACATTTATCTATTATATGATGAATGGAAAGCTATCTGAAGGGTAGCAGTTGTAGCACTGATAATATAGGTACTTGAGGAATGGAAACGGTCGCACCAAGATGTGCATGTATGTGCATTCTTTTATGAGAAAAATAGGTGTAAAATTATACATAATGAGTAAAAATAGGATGCATTTTTGTGTAAACTTCTCTCATCCACAAAAATGAAACAGAGAGAAAACATTTTCTGTTACTTCTTGTCTATAGGTATTCCACTACTTCAAGGCCAGGAAATTAATATAGGAGCAATGTAAAAAATTTATCAAGTGATTTATCTTTCTATATTATTAATAAAAATATGCAGTCTATAGTGCTCACCTTTTAAATACTTTAAGTCATATGTGCTTGAAATTTTGCATGTCTTATGTATGATGACATAGACCTTTAGTTCTTCCTAGTGTGTGCTGTGCATGCCTGACAGGATAGGAAGAGAAATTCCAAAATCCTGTTTATCACTCTTTACTAGTACCTAACTTTAGCTTGGTAAGTTCTAACTTCTGCTGAGGGACTTTTTCAAGTGACTGATATTTCACGAGAAAAGAAGAGTATTCTATATATATTTTTTATTCTTCAGGTCATGTTTCTTAAGGCAAGGCAAGCTGTAAAGAGCTTCAGAGCAATGCACATATGCACCTTGGTGATCCTCCCGTCCTTGCAAGATTCCTAACATGGAATTCCTAAGTCAGCTTTATTTATTTTATTTTTATTTATTTTCAACATCAGACTGTATAAACTGGGAAAACAAGGAACATTTTCATTAAGCTTAGTGTATTATACTGATATCACCTAAAATGGTCAGTAGTGGAATTTAGGATTCAATGTACCTAATCTAACTTTCAGTGCCTGCAATGACAATGTCTATATCTGAATTCATTATGTTAAATTCCTTCTTTAGTGGAATGGCACTTTCATGTCAGTAGCACTTCAATTTATATTTAGGAATATATTTTTGGATATAACTAACATCATATTATAAATATCTATATTTAGTCAAATGAAACCTATCTGTGGTATCTTAATTATGTACTAACCCTTTTTGTTTTTATACTGAAAGAGTTGCTTCTGGGAAAGCATTGATGCTGCTCTTAAAGTGTTTCAGGTTCTGTTTTGTGTGACAGAAATAACTGTAACATTTGAGGTGGTAGAATAATAAGCAAGACAAATAAAGAAAAGCCCTGGCCTTACCTGGGATCAGAATGCCTCCTGTTCATTTGTCTGGGCTCCTTTTACAAATACTGTGTCTGACTGTGCTCTTCCTGTTTCAAAGATATAGCAGAATGCCTAAAGACAGGAATAATAATAATAATAAAATGACAGGAATAAAATACAGAAATAAAATACTCTGTGTTCAACAGTAGACAACATAAATAGAAAAACAAGACTAAATGGGCTCACTTTCATTTCATCAGTTGTATCACAGCTAGAGGAAACTCTGTAGTAGATATTTGGTTCAGAAAAGTCTACAGTATAATCTACTATATAACAGAACAATTCCTGGTTCCCTAAAAATTGCTTACAATGTGCTAAACCACAAGAAAACCCCATAACCAGAATATGCCAGCGGAAGACAGATCAAACATTTCAGCAAAGTCCTAAGTGGTAAGGTAGTATGTTAAAGAAAATGCAGATATTACAAGGCAAAAGGAAAAAAAAAGTTCCAAACAGTAATTATCAGTGACCTGGTGAAAGCAATTCCTGGTGACATAAGATCTGGCAAATGGTTTAACCTTGTAAAAGTGAGCAGGACCCCAAAGCACACAACCAGCTAATCTCATTTATTTACAGCGGGAGTCCACCCTGCTTTCTGCCTCGGATCACGGCTGCTTTCCAGGCCCTGGGAAGGTTATAAAGACTCACAAACCATAGCTGCTCCATACCTTGAAGACTCTCCCTGCACACTTCTGCTGTCTACAGAACCCATCAGGAGGACTAATAACACCTAAAAGGTGTTATGAACAATAGAGCTACAGGTTCATTTCAAATCCTCCTAGAGACACCACGACCTCAAGTGCCCTAGACTTCCAAGTCCCACTCCTTTCTGCCTCAAATGAGTGCTGTCACTGTGTTACAAATTACCGGAGACAAGGAGGGTACAGCGGAAATACTGTTACACCCCTCCCCCTTTTTTCTGTTTGTTACATAGTCCCTTCCCTATTTTCAGTCTAAATTTTAACATGTTCCTTGACTTGTTAATCTGTTTGTGAGGCTGCTCCAGCATTTTACCAGATAAAGAAAAAACAATCTCAGATGGAATAGTTTTAATTTCCAGTCTGAATTTATTTGTGACCAATTTGTAACCATCTAATTGTGTGCCTGCGCTAAATGGGAGTTTTCCCATTGAGCGTAATTGGATCAGGCCCCAAACCGCAAAGACAGCTGCTCTTATTACGGCATGAAAAACAGACAGGGTCTGGGTGTTATTGCATAATGACAGCAGTAAATTATATTCCAAGGGCAAGATCAGAAGCTGGTGTAAATCAATACAACTCAACTGGCTTTTAAAAAGTTGTATCAGTGTGTGCAAGCTGCTATTTTGGCCCAAACATTTTCTCAGTAGATTTTAAAGCTCATCCTGCTGCATAATGCATGCTAGGGAATTACTTCCAGCAGCTCCTGCACCAAGCCTAAACTGTCTGACTGAACCCAGGCTTGTATTTCAGAAAGTCATTCAAACTTGATTTAGAGAGTGTGTATCATGGAGAATCTACCACACTCCCACAGACACTTTTCAAATACTTATGCTCTTTGTTCTTAAAGAAACCACATCACTTTATTTTCTTCCTCACTAAGATGCCAGGTTCTAGCTAGATTTCCTAGCTCTTTTTTTCCTAATACATATAAAAGCCTCCTCATTCAAATTTCCTCTTTTTACATTTATGCTTCTTCAACACTATTGTGACATCCTTTAGTCTCCATGCTGGGGAGCTGAGTTGATTAAACTTTGATTTTATTCGGTCATCATTTAAAAATTTTCTAATTCAAGCATTTTCTAAGGCCTTTTTAATTTTTCAAACTCACTACACTGATTGCTTTATAGCATGAGTAGGTAGCTTCTGATGCAAAAATTTACAGTCTGATATGTTTAACTAGAACTAGAAAAAAATAATATTTGGCTGTTTCCTGGGAGAGAAAATGAAAACTATCAAACAACAGCTACATTGTTTGACTATGGTTTAACGTGTTTATAAGGAATAATAGATGTAATGAAATTACTCTATGGAACAGTCTCTGTTATTCTCTTTAAGTATATAGGCTCAATTCACTGATTTCTCTAAATCAGGTGAGATTTGGAAAGGCATGCAGCCACACTGCATGAAGCTAGTTCTGAAAGTGTAATCAGCTTTGATTTACCTGAAGATAATAGTAAAACTCAGTAATTTCAATTAGGGCAAATAAAAATGAAGTTTTCCTGATGAGAAAAATACTAACTATATTATTGTATTTTTGTAAAAGTCTTGGTGATTCTGTAACTAACTTTCGTGCTTGTTATGTCTATGAATGTGTTTTAAAAGTTGGCCAGGCAGACAGTACCCCAACTTAATGCCATCTTGGTCTTCAATAGTAATGCTCAGGAGTAATAGGAAAACAGTGCAGTGGAAGTTTTAGTACTTACCTTTTATTTCAAAAGGAACTTTGGCTAGAAAGGCTTTGCTAGCCCAAGATTAAAAGGAATTTTCAGCCTAAGAGTACAGCTGATAGCTGCAATCTAATGTACATTCATTGTTACAAGATCTTCAACATTATGAACCATTTGGGAACATCTAAGAGGGATAAAAAACATGAGGACTAGTATCAAATAAGTATACTTACAGGCTTGGAAATTGGAGGAAGAGTTAGAAAAAGGTCAAATATGAAGAAAAACAATTAAACCAAAATATGTTCAACTGGTTCATTAAAACATAATAAGCAATTAAAAAGCTTGTATTTATTTAGTGTTGTGAGAATAATTTGAGTATGAGCCTTGTTAGCTTCAGTTGTCCAAATCAAGGAGGATCTGTCAAGGAGGTTCTCATCAATCTTGTATAATGACTACAGAAGCATTTAGCTGATCTGAGGGGCACAGCTGGATTTTCAAACAACCCTTTCATTTGGAAGCTCTAATTTAACACTTAGAGGAAAACTCCCGTGTTGCTCTGTCAAACTTCGTCTGGATAAACATTTTTCTTAAGAAGAATTCTCTTGGTAAATAAAATTTCAAAGTAAAAAGTATTACTAAAGGTATATCTGTGCAAGTTGCATTAATGTTGCAGTAGTGAAGGATGCATCCCACAGAGATGGTTTCACCAGACCACCCTGATTATTCAGCCTTGCAATGTTATGCTGGGAGATTTAAAGTGAGATTAGAGTATATCTCATGAAAAAGAGTACGAATATTAAGTTTACTCCCAAGATTGACAGGAGAATAACGAAACTCCACAGAACAATGTGAAAAATACTCAGATAAAGATCCTGAAAACAGAAGGCATTGGGTTATTATTCGTAGCATGAATTGAAGCAGGGAGAAGACAGAGATGCAGATTTTGTCTTCATACAAATTATAAGTGCAAGATATATGGGGGATAAAAAAGAGAATTATAATGGATACTGTGGAATAATTTCCATGATTAGAGTAAGAATGTAAACTTGTTCAGGAAATACAAGAAAACAGGAAGTTTAGGAAATATTAGGAAGAAATGAGGGAGGAGAGTGCCCTAGTACTGTTGTGAAGAGTACAGATATATTTCAAGTCTCTAGAGAAAAGAAACAAAGTACCATGTAAAGATCTATAAGTTACTATAGAACTAGAAACGTAAGGAAGAGGAAAAAGATTTCTGTTTTGGTCCTAGGTTTCTTTTTTTTTTGTTTCGTGTTGTTTTTGTTTGTTTGGGTTTTGGTTTTTTTTTGTTGTTGTTTTTTTTTTTTGTTGTTGTTGTTTTTGTTTTGTTTTGTTTTGTTTTTTTCTGTATGGGTCCCACCCCACCTCGAATTTTAATAGCACCATTAATGGGATTTATAGCTCACTGGAAATTTGAGAGGCCTGAGTATATGTTGAGAAGGGAGTGCAGCAGCACCCTGACTGTGAGGTAGCTTGTATTGATGAGCATATTTTGATACAGAAGGTACAGAAAACAACAAGAAAGGAGGATTTTTAAATTCAGTTCTTAACAGTGAGTTCAGAAGTGCACAGAGAAGTCTGGAAACAACTAATGAGGCAGCAGTTCTGTGAGGGGTTTAAGAGTAATAAAAGGAGTCAGATGTTGAACATGTGTTAATAACACATCACTTTTTAGGAGAAAAAACAAAACCTGCATTGCAATGTACACCTGCAAAACAAGGAAAGGCATTTTCTGTTCCTATCTGCATTGGGCAGGTTACTCTGTCCTTGGCACTGGACAGTCTTCAGCTTCTGTATGCTTAGCGTAGACCTTCTTCTTCCAGAAAATGTGGAAGGATTGAGGTTAAGAAGAAGGATAATCAGATGTCCAGAATATTTGATACAAGAAGGAATACAAATTGAATTAACATAATTTATGCCCAAAAAGAAAAGATAGGGAAGGCAAGGAAGAAAGATGATACCTGAGATGTTTCATAATAAAAAGAAAAAAATATTGAATAGTTTTCCATGTCAGAGCGGCTACCAGAGAAAATAACAGAATGGAATTACAGAAAATCAGGTCTGGCATTAGTTAAACCATCCTACTGATAATGATCATCAATAATGAGGAGAAGAGGATCCAGAAGGGTTACTAAGTTCCCATTCCTTGAAGATCTTTTAAAATAGGCTAGCCATATACCTACCAAGGATAACAGATATATAATATTTGAGAAGAGATTAAATAACTAATTTCTTGAGGTCCTCTCCAGTCCTGACTCTAGTGTTGCTTATTCCTAACTTTGAAGGTAGTAATTTCCAGAAAATTAAGTTAATAAAGACAGGAAGAAATGTGTTCTGTGAAAAAATCAATAGGTAGATCTCATCCAGAGAAATTGTTTATTTTCTTCAGCTTCAAGGAAATACATTCTTTTATTTAACTAAACCTTCAACAACATTTTACGTACTAATCTTTCTAATATTTAGTGATTCCAAGTTTACTATATTCATACCTTTGCAAAAGAAATGCTTCACATTTAGTGGGATATCTCCCTTGAGATTTGTAGCATCTTATATTTTCCACACATTTTATTCAAACACTTATTTAAATGGGTTTTCCTTTTCCAGACCCTAGTGGGTAGTCTCCATTTTTCTTCTGGGTACTCATTTAATATCTGTAAAATTGTTGGTGGGATGTAAAAAAATGTTTGCCTTGATATCATTCAATAATATTAGGGAACATTAATTAATTGTATTTTTCTTTGCCCAAGGAAGAAGCCTTTGGTTCATTTAGTTGTATCACACTTGACATCACCTATCTTTGCCATAGTCAAACATGGGAGCTAGAGAGGAGATTATGGAGGCTAATGTTTGTTCAGGATAGGATAGAGTGAGAAATAAACTTTATACTTAGCAAAATGTTTTAAACATTTCCGAAGTTTCCTATTCCTTGTCAGCTTAAGTCTTCTTGAATTTCTTTGAACTTTTAATCTGTTATTCCACTCGGAAAAACACACCTTCATCAGAATGGAGTGGCGGAAGAGAGTTCACTAGACATATAGGATATACAGATTCAGGTCCCTGCATAGCTGCTCCTTGCTTCCTACCTGTGTCCTGATCAGAAGGCTATCAATTATCCAGAAGTGATTTCTTTCCCTCATCTTTTATTTGGGAGAAGGTGTCCAATAGTTATTTTAAAATTAATAAATAATTAATTGGAAATAAATGGCTTATAACAATTTGATATATTAACAGACAACGCAGGAGACATCCTTCCAACAGTGAATTTATGTTTATGTCAAAAGTAATAATACAGTTCATGCTCATGGGCTCAGTCAATATGTGAAAGGAGTAAGGTCAGGATTAGTCTTTTCCTTGTAGTTATCTCTGTTGACTTTTTAAAAATTTTATTTAGCTACATCAAGATTTGGTTGTTTATAGCTGTTGCATATTTATAAGTTCTTGGCTAGAA